ACTCTAGCTAATAGCCCCAACTGAGCTCTCAGCCAACAGTCAGCATCTGACTATCACCCATGTATGTCATCACATTTGAAGTCCAGTCCATATTATTCTTCTTATGACTCCAGCTCCAGTCATTATCGGCATGAGAAAGTCCAAGGGAGAGCTGCATAAGTAAATCCACTCACAGAATCATAGGAAAAATGTAAGTTGTTGTGTAAGCCACTAACTTTGGGATAGTTGCTATATAGCAAGAGATAATCACAAGAGTAGGTGAGGAAGAAATAATTTAAAGATTTTAAACAGAAGAATGATGATAAATTCCATTTATAACTGAACATGTTGATCAGGTAGGGCCCTAAGATCAGAATCTTTGATGGTGGGAGTTAAACATTCTATACCCTGGTCTCACCACACACCCACATTTAGTTGGAATTTGAGGGTTGCTGGATGGAACTGAGTGAAATTCCTCCCCTCATGTACAAATTTATGTGTTACATAGATTCAGAAGAGTCTCCTAGGGGAAAAAAAAAAAGTACCAGGCCCCTTACACATGACTTTAGACCTGGTGACTGATAAAGTATCAGATTCCAATTCTGGTAACAGGCTATTAATGTAGCACCTGATGATCCCTGCTTCCTGGTAATTACACCCTTGGGTAATTCCATACCTTTACTGGAGAGGGGTGACCCATTAAACCAATAAAATTTTGCAGAAATAACCATGTGCAATGTCTGAAGCTGTTTTGAATGACATTAAAGCTTTTGGCTTTGCTCGTCCTTGGGTTGCTCATGCTGGAGGAAGCCAATTGACATGTTGTAAGGATCCTCCAAAAGCCCTGTGGAAAAACCCAAGTGGTGAGTAACTGAACTCTTCTGCCAGTGGCCAGCACAAATGTAGCATGTTAATGAGTTATCTTGGAAGTGGATATCTCAACCCTAGTGAAGCCTCAGATAACTGTAGCCTGGCCAGTGTCTTTGTGAACCCTTATCTGAAGTTCAGCAGTTCTTTTAGGGTGATTTCTATGAGCTAAGTCCAATAAGTTTAAGTAATTTGAAATTATTTCTAGTCTTCCTACATTACTTAATTCAATGGAAATTAAGTAATTTTTCTTTAATTTTTAGTATCATATAGTTTATATGTAGTAAGCAATGTATATAACATATGATTAAAAGAATAGCTTTAAAAGTTCAAGTTCAATTATTGTTTAAAAATATATGACTACTAGTATATTTGAATTGTTCTTTGTCCATAGTCCAATAATTTTCTTCTCCCTTCATTCAGATGTAACTATTTGGAGTTCTGAATTTATCACTTCCCTCCTTTAACATAATTTTATTATGTATATACATATACCTAAATGATATATTGTTCACTTATTTTATTTTGATCTTATAAATAAAGTTGCACATTATATTATCTTCTTTATTTTAATCTTTTCCCGAATTGTAATATCTTTGAGATTAGCCATACTGATGCTTTTAACTGTGATTCCCTCATTTTCACTGCTGTAATGTATTATCTTTCTTATTCAAACCAAAAATATTTATCCAACTCCCTGTAAATGGACATTTGGCTTGTTTTTAGTTTTTTGCCATTGTAAATAAGGATGCTATGGACATTCCTGTATATGCCATTTGGATACATATGTAAGCTGTATATCCTACGAGTGGGATGATTGACTGTATCAGAATATAAGGTAATCCCAGTTATCCCAAGAAGTTGTATCAATTTACACTACTACCAGCCAAAAGGCAGAGAGCACTCATTGCTTCAAATTCTCACCAAAATTTTGGGAAATCAGACTTTCTTTTTTGTTAATTTGGAAGGTGATTATACATTTTTCCATTTTAATTTATTAATTAAATCAATAAATTAAATTAAATTAATAAAGTATTAATTAATATTAATATGTTAATATTAATTGTTATGCATTATGATTAATTTATAAATTATAAATATATTAATGAATTAATGAATTGGATTGAATTAAATTAAATTTTCCATTTTAATTAATTTATTTAAATTCAAATTGTTCACATACAGTGTATTATTTGTTTCAAGGGAAGAATTTAATGATTCATCAGTTCCATATAATAACCAGTGGTCATTACTCAAGTGCCCTCCTTAACACTTATCATCTAGTTACCCCATCCCTCCACCCACTTCCCCTCCAGCAACCCTCAGTTTGATTGGCAAAGAGTGTCTTATGATTTGCCTCCCTCTCTGTTTTTATCTTTTTTCCCTCCCTCCCTGATGATCATCTGTTTTGTTTCTTAAATTCCACATGAAATCACATGGTATTTGTCTTTCTCTGACTTATTCCACCTAGCATAGCACCCTCTAGTTCCATCCATGTTATTGCAAATGGCAGGATTTCATTCTTTTTTGATGGCTGGGTAATACTTCATGGTGTGTGTGTGTGAGTGTGAGACAGAGAGAATGGACATCTGGGTTCTTTCCATATTTTGGCTATTGTTGATGATGCTGCTATAAACATCGGGTTGTACATGCTCTTCAGATTTCTATTTTTGTATCTTTTGCATAAATATCTATGTTATCAATTGATTTATAAATTTGGGTGCCCAACTTGGAGGCCTAAATATTTACAATTGTTCAATCTTCTTGTTGGATAGATACCTTTATTATTATTAAACAGTGCCCTTCTTCATCTCTTGTTACAATCTTTGATTTACTCTGGCATTCTTTTAGCATGATGAATGGTTCTCCATCCCCTTACTTTCCATCTGCATATGCCTCTATATTTAAAATCAGTCCCTTATAGGCAGCATATAGATAGGTGATGGTGTTTTGTCTTTTTTATTGTCCATTCTGCTACGCTATGTCTCTCTTCCCTGGAGAGGGGCATTCACGCCTGCTGCTCTTAAGGAATCCCTCACAGAAGAGAGAATAATGTCCCCTCATTTGTCCCAGGCTTCTTTCAGATCCCATCTTCACCCTGTGTCTGAGCCATCTGCTGACCCAGTGGCACAATGTTTCTTTGTTTTGTCTCTAGCACACTGTCTGGGTTTCAAAACTTCAAATTTTAGGGACCTGGGAAGGGCATAGACCTGCTCTGATCCTCTGAGGGAGAGTCTCTGCACATTGTGATCAGTGCTGGCTTGTCCCAGAAGGGGGGTTGCACAAACCCACAGGGACTTGGAGTTTATGGTAAAACATGGAAAAAAGTCAGTGTCCAGGTTAGATGCCCTCAGCAGGTGTTTCTGCTCATATGCTAATGAACGGAGCAGCTCAGTGATGCCTGTGGGCTCTTTTGTCCCTAGAAAGACAGTGCCATCTCTCCCAAATGCACTCCAAGAAGGGGTACTGTCTTACCCGGTGCAACCCAGGGGAATCCTCAGACCATGATGTCCACTCCTGGGCCTCTACCCTCCTCTCCCCAGAGCACCTCCATACCTACCAGGCTCCACCCATCAATGGTGCGGACTTCTAAAACTTCAGACTTGGAGCTTGACTGCTTGTAAAAACTTGCAATTATTAGCCTCTCTCATTTTCCCTGTCAGTTTTTCTTGTGCAATGCCTTGCACCCTGCTCTCTCTTTCCCTCTCTCTCTTTCTGTCTTCTCTCCCTGCTCAGGGCTCCCTCCCGTCTGTGTATCAGTGATTCTTTTCTCCTCCAGACCATGGATCCACATCTGCATTCTGCAGTGTGGCCTCTTTTCCCCCGCTAGTTGTGCAATTTGTTCCCTCAGTCCTCAGACTGGTTCCCTGGGTGTTCAGAATGACGTGACATTTATCTAGCTGTGTTCCAGGAACAAGGCCACCATAGGGTCCCTCTACTACTTCACCATCTTAACTCTGGCTCCAGGCTTGCCTTTTGACATACACGATCATTCCATGCTTCCTTCACATCGTGCCACAATATTGAAGCAGCAGCTCTGAACCATTGTTCCTACATGTTGTTTCAGTTCTTTCTTTTCCTTCAACTATGACTTTGCCCTCCCAGGACTTCAAATTTCTGTGCCCACTGATTTTTATTTATTAATTTGTCTTTATTTACTCATATAAGGCAATGTTTAAAGAAATTCATATATATGCTTATAGGGGTGAGTTCTTGACAGATTGCTCAGAAATACACTTTTGACATTTTCCTCAACTATCAATATTTTTTAAAAATTACATACATGAGCATTTCTGCCATAGAGCTGCCTTTCTTACCTGGTTTTTTATTTTTTTTATTTATTTTTTAAGATTTTATTTATTTGACAGACAGAGATCAGAAGTAGGCAGAGAGGTAGGCAGAGAGAGAGAGGAAGAAGCAGGCTCCCTGCCGAGCAAAGAGCCGATGCGGGGCTCGATCCCATGGACCCTTAGATCATGACCTGAGCCGAAGGCAGAGGCTTAACCGACTCAGCCACCCAGGCACCCCCCTTACCTGGTTTTTTAGAACGCAATATCTGGCAAAGGGTGGAGAAAGTTCAAACTTCACCTGTTCCTGGGGAAAGGGCTGGCCTGCTACCAGGAAGAGGCAACATCTGTGGCAATTCCCAGCCTTTGATGGGAAGTTCCCACCCCCCCCATGGTGGGAAGCTCCTCTAATCCATGCCAAGCTCTTCCCCATGACCCCTGTTCAGGCCCCACATTCCTATTATTCATTTCAGCACCCCTCCTTCAAATTTGCTTATAAAAGCCCAGTCTTCTCTGACCTGACAAACCATTGCAAATCCCTGCAAGACAGGTGAGTAGAAGCTGAGAGAAGATGAGACCTCATGGCAAGAATTCTACTGTACATATTTGGGGGAAGGTACAGGAGGATTGCTGTCACACAGAGGAGCTCTGATCTCAGCACAGGCAGCTTGGCAGTTCTCATGGGGTAGGAGAGAGTACAGAATTTCCAGTTCTTTCCAGAGCTATACATGGGGACAGATGTCACTGGGATCAATTTGTTCCTAGGGGATCAAACAATGGAAAGACAAGGAAGAGGAGGGACATCTCTGCATGCCCTCTCTCCAGTCACGCTTTCCTTAGTGATCTCTGATTGCTTCCTCAGATCCCAGACATGATGCTACCTCCCACAGCCCTCTGCAGCATGTCCTGGGTGCTGCTTTCCTGCCTCATGTTCCTGGCTCAGGTCCAAGGTGAGCTCTCACTGTTTCTAGGATGGAAGCCTTGTCAATGCTGAGGGCCAAGAAGAAGAGGAAGGTTCCCGTGGTAGTGGTGACATACATCCCCACACAAAGAAACTGCCTAGAATTTGTCTGTCATCACTCCTTCCTTCGGGGTAACCAGGGGTGGCAGGCATCCCAGTGGTCCTCTAGCACTGTAAGGAGGTCACTTCCATTTTGCCTTAGCACTCTAAGTTTTGTTGATAGGTGAAAGAGGAAAAGTGTGAAGGGTCAGTAAGGAGATACAGGGAAGGAGAATGAGGACCCAGTGCAAGAATGGTCAGCCTAGAGTGGAGGAGGGACTTAGAAGGAGAAGGATGAAAGAAAAGAAGATTCCTCATTTAGTGGGGTCAGTTCAAGATCCAGAAATCCTGAGAGTGTTGGCAATGGAGAGAGGCAGTCAGGACTTTGGCATCACTTCCCCAAGCACTGGCCTCATACATATTCCCCTGGGTCACCTCCCTACCCTGGCCCCCACTTTCCTATTTACTTCTAAATTCTCTTTTGTTTCGTCCACCCTAGGTGAAGACTCCCAGAATGATGTGCCCGCTCCACGGATCAGCTGTCCCAAAGGCTCCAAGGTTTATGCCTCCCGCTGCTATGCCTTCTTTATGACACCAAAATCCTGGGTGGATGCTGATGTGAGTACTTGGATTTTCAGTTAGGGGTTTTAAGGGAAAGTACATTAAAGATGTGGGTGGGTGGGGGGTTCAGTTCCATTTTCCAGAATTTCCTGAGCACAAGCTTGAGCACACACATCTTTTGCATATATACCCTTCTCCCCTGTCTCTGCTCTGCCCTCCACCCAATGATGTCTCAGGCTCCCTCTGAGTCTCTCCCTTCCCCACACAGATGGCCTGCCAGAAGAGGCCCTCAGGACACCTTGTGTCTGTGCTCAGTGGGGCTGAGGCATCCTTTGTGGCCTCCCTGATCAAGAACAGTGCGAACACCTACTCAAATATCTGGATTGGGCTCCATGACCCTACAGAGGTATGAACTCATCTTCTCTTCCTAACTCTCAGGCTGCTATTACCCCCCAGGCCCACTCCCTGTCCCGTATGCCTGTCCCTAAAGAGCCCTGGAGCTCAGAGATCATGAGGGGGAAAGGGAGGGCTTTTCATCAACAGCTGAGTTCTGTGCAAATCCCTTGTCTCCAGCTGAAGTTGATCTGCCTCCTGTCACACTTGTACACAAGTTGCACATGAGGCCTTATACTTCAGTTTACTGAACTTCACAGAGGCTGCACATATTGTGTTGAGGGAATCCTATGTGAAGATAGGATCCATTTTTGTTCTATAGAACAGACACTGTCTTTGGGTTTGAGGGAGTAACTACAAATGCACCACTAATTGCTGTTCAGTCAGGAACGTGTTACTCTGGGTGGTTCTGTAGGTCTTTGTCATTACTGGTTTGGGAATCTGCCAATAAGAGCAGAGAGTTAGGAAGAGTTTCCCAGAGGAGAGCTCTGGCTCCAAGGCAGCATCTAGATGAGAGAGCAAATTTGGTGATGCTGGGGAGGGGTTCATGCCGGGAGAACTCTGATGGCCATTCAGCCTCACCACACTCTATCTTCTATAGGGCTATGAGCCCAATGCAGCTGGATGGGAGTGGAGTAGCGGTGATCTGCTGAATTACCTTGCCTGGGAGAGAGACCCCTCCACTATTGCAAACCCTGGCTATTGTGGGAGTGTGTCAAGTTACACAGGTAGGTAACAGAGGAGCTACTTCCTGCCCAGAATTTTCCATCCTCTTTTTCCCCATTTCTCGGCATGACCTTCAGAGGATCCTCCTGAGCAAGAAATGTAGTATTGGTTTGTCTTCCTGCATCCCTTTTCATCTCTCCTTTCTTTGAGTCTCCTTCCTCTGGTGGATACTGGGGAAAATGAGAGAGAGGCTTTGGATCCTAGGCCAGAATCTGGGATGCCTCTCCCTTGGGTTCAAGAGCTCCACCAGCTACATTTACCTGAGCTCCTTTTTCTCTCTAGGATATCTGAGATGGAAAGATTACAGCTGCACTACAAAGCTACCCTATATCTGCAAGTTCAAGGACTAGGTCTGGGGAGACGTCGGGAACCTGGGTTTTGCATGCAGCTCATCATGGACTTGAGACCAAGTGTGAAGACCCAGCCTGGAAGGGAATAATCTCAAACCTGACCACTTCATTCTGAACTGTCTTCCTCCCTACTCATTTACTTCATGTCCTTTTGGTGTATTACATGGCCTGCGATCTGAGAATGCAATAATAAATACTTTATTCCATTTCATGTGCTTTTGTGCTCCTGTCTCATAGCTAGACTCTAAAGAAGAACCAGGTGCGGGAGGAATTCTGGGACTTGCCCCTGTCCTATGTTATCCATTCCCCCAGGAAAACACTTAAATGTATATCCCAGCGGTGTATTTGTGATCAGTACATAGTCTCTGTTCATTTACATCTGTGTTGTGTACAGAAAAGACACCACTCTCCCACACACTCTATTGCACATTACTCTTATTTGTGACACAAACGGACTTAGTGGTGTCTGCTGTTTTTACAACAGCACTTCTGAAATCATTCGCAATGAATGATCAGTTTTTTTCTTTAATTTGTAATCCACCTTGGACCATGACCTTTATAAAATACCGCAAAAAAACAAACAAACAAACAAAAAAAAACAAACAAAAAAAACACAACGAATTACTTGGGTTCTGACTGCAGTGCTTACAAGTAGGGCATTAGAAGTTGTCACGCTCTTCATTAAAACAGTTCTGTTCTTAAACCAACCACTAGAAAAGTGTTTGAATTTGCCGTAATTGCCTTTGACCATTTGGGATTCCTCTCCTGGGACTGGACTTAATTGCTTTTCATACAAAATCAGGGTTTTTTGTGTTTTTTTTTTTGTTTGTTTTTAGGAGGATTTAAAAATAATAGCATTTGATAAGGCAGTCAGTATTGTCTCCTACACCTAGGGCCAGCTTAAGTTCATACTGATCACAGAGGATATTTTGCTAAATTCATGGTCTTTATTCATAACCAGTTTGTGTGAACTCTTACAAACTTCGATCTAAAAATCTAAAATAGAGGTAGGCAGGTAGTTTTTATCTCTCCTTTCTCTATGTCTGTTCTATCCCACTAAACCCTCCATAATTTAGTGCCTTCTGGGCAGTCCTGACATAGTTGATAAAAATGCTCTTTTCTCCTATAATAAATAATGATAATAAATAGTAATCTATTTTCCTTTTACTGAAAACTTATTCCCCTTAATATTTTAATTTAAAGTCAATTTATTAACATAACATGTTATTAGTTTCAGAAGTAGAGATTAGTGATTCATCAGTGACATATAACACCCAGTGTTCATTATATCACGTGCCCTCCTTAATGCCCATCCCCCAGCTACCCCATCTCCCTACCCCCCTTCCCTGCAGCAACCCTCAGTTTGTTTCCTATAGTTAAGAGTCTTTGGTGGTTTGTCTCCCTCTCTGATTTCATCTTATTTTATTTTTCCTTCCCTTCCCTCGTATTCACCCATTTTGTTTCTTAAATTCCACATGAGTGAAACCATATGATATTTGTCTTTCTCTGACTGACTTATTTCCCTTAGCATAATTCCCTCTAGTTCCATCCACATCAAAGAAAATGGCAAGATTTCAGGGTGCCTGGGAGGCTCAGTTGTAAAACGTCTGCCTTTGGCTCAGGTCATGATCCCAGGGTTCTGGGATCGAGCCCCTCATCGGGCTCCCTGATCAGAAGGAAGCCTGCTTCTCTCCCTCCCACTCCCCCTGTTTGTGTTCCCCTCTCTCACTGTGTCTCTTTCTGTCAAATAAGTAAAATCTTTTAAAAAAAGAAAAGGAAAGAAAATGGCAAGATTTCATTCCCTTTTGATAGTTTAGTATTATTCTATTATACATATATACATATACATATATACACATACACATATACATATTTATACACATATACATATATACATACATATATGCATATATATACACATACACACACACACACACACACACACACACATCTTCCTTATCCATTCATCTACGAATGGACATCTGGGATCCTTCCCCATTTTGGTTACTGTTGATAATGCTGCTATAAACATCGGGGTGCATGTGCCCCTTCAAATTACTATTTTTGTATCTTTTAAATAAATACCTCATAGTGCACTTGTTGGGTTGTAGTGTAGTTCCATCTTTAACTTTTTGAGAAAACTCCATGCTGTTTTCCAGAGTGGGTGCACAAGCTTGCATCCCCACAAAAAGTGTGAGGGGGTTCACCTTTCTCCACATCCTCACCAACATCTGTTATTTCCTGATTTGTTAATTTTAGCCATCCTGGCTGGTGTGAGGTGGTGACGTCTCTTTGTGGTTTTGATTTGGGTTTCCCTCATGGTGAGTGATGTTGACCACTTTTTCACAATTTTGTTGGCCATTTGGATGTCTTCTTTGAAGAAGTGTCTGTTCATGTCTTCTGCCCATTTCTTGATTGGATTATTTGTTCTTTGGGTGTTGAGTTTGAGAAGTTCTTTATAGATTTTGGATACTAGACCTTTATCGGATATGTCACTTGTGAATATCATCTCCCATTCAGTAGGCTGCCTTTTAGTTTTGTTGATTGCTTTCTTTGCTGTGCAAAAGTTTATCTTGATGAAGTTCCAGTAGTTCATTTTTGCTTTTGTTTCCCTTGCCTCTAGAAACATGCCTAGCAAGAACTTGCTATGGCGAGGTCAAAGAGATTGCTGCCTGTTGTCTCTAGGATTTTGATGGATTCCTAGCTCACATTCGCATCTTTCATCCATTTTGAATTTATTGTTGTATATGGTATAAGAAAGTGGTCCAGTTTCATTCTTCTGCATGTGGTTGTCCAATTTTCCCAACATGATCTTTGAAGAGACTGTCTTCTTTTCACTGGATAGTCTTTCCTACTTTGTCAAAGATTAGTTAATCATAGAGTTGAGGGTCCATTTCTGGATTTTTTATTCTGTTCCATTGATCTACGTGTCTCTTTTTGTGCATGTACCATACTGTTTTGATGATTACAGCTTTGTAATACAGGTCAAAATCCAGAATTGTGGTGCATCTAGCTTTGGTTTTCTTTTTCAACATTCCTTTGGCTATTTGGTGTCCTTCGTGATTCCATACAAATTTTAGGATTGTTTGTTCCAGCTCTGTGAAAAATGCTGGTGGTATTTTTATAGGGATTACATTGAATGCACAGATTGCTTTGGGTAGCACAGACATATTTGTTCTTCCAATTCATGAGAATGGAATGCTTTTCCATTTCTTTGTGTCTTCTTCAGTTTCTTTCATAAGCAATGTATAGTTTTCAGAGTACAGTTTTTACCTCTTTGGTTAGGTTTACTTCTATTATCTTGTGGTTTTTGGGTGAAATTATAAATGGCATTGATTCCTTGATTTTCTTTCTGCTGCTCATTGTCAGTGTATAGAAATGCAGTAGACTTCTATGCATTGGTTTTATATCCTGTTACTTTGCTAAATTCCTGTATCAGTTGTAGCAATTTTTTGGTGTTTTTGGGTTTTCTACATAGAGTATCATGTCTTCTGCAAAGAGTGAAAGTTTAACTTCTTCTTTACCAATTTGGATGCCTTTTATTTCTTTTTGTCATCTGATTGCTGAGGCTAAGACTTCCAGTACAATGATGAATAACAGTGGTAAGAATGGATATACCTGTTGTGTTCCTGACATGACAGATACATAAAATCTTTTAAAAAAATGGATACTGAATTTTGTCTAATGCTTTTTCTGCATCTGTTGAGAGGATCATATGATTCTTGTCTTTTCTTTTATTAATGTTGTGTATCACATTGAATGATTTGTGAATATTGCACCACTTTTGCAGCCCAGGAAAAAATCCCGCTTTGTCATGGTGAATAATCCTTTTGATGTACTGTTGGATCCTATTGGCTAGTATCTTGGCAATAATTTTTGCTTCCATGTTTGTCAGAGATATTGGTCTGACATTATCTTTTTGGTGAGGCCATTGTCTGGTGTAGGGATCAAGGTAATACTGGCTTTATAGAAAGAGTTTGGAAATTTTCCTTCCATTTCTATTTTTTGGAACAGCTTCAGAAGAATAAGTATGAATTCTTCTTTAAATGTTTGATAGAATTCTGCTAGAAGGCCATCTGCCTCTGTAGTCCCCTCAGTTTTAAAAGAAGCAAGTAGAGGAGTGCCTGGGTGGCTCAGTGGGTTAAAGGCTCTGGCTTCTGCTCAGGTCACAATCCCAGGGTCCTGGGATCGAGCCCCGCATCAGGCTCTCTGCTCAGTGGGGAGCCTGCTTCCTCCTCTCTCTCTCTCTCTCTCTCTCTCTGCCTGCCTCTCCACTTACTTGAGATCTCTGTCAAATAAATAAATAAAATCTTTAAAAAATAAAAGTAAAAGAAGCAAGTAGAGGTGCTCCAATTTGTATGTGAGCCCCAACGCCTAACATTTATATGAAAAATGTTGTGTTATATCCAATATTTGAATTCCCCATAATTTCTTCTACCAGAGTCCAGCTGGGTTGCTGACAGGTTGTAAGTGCCTTGCCTGAGATAGACACAGGCTCCTTTCGGCTGCCTGAGTTTGGACTATTTGGATATAAGCTGCTGACTTGGATTCTAACTCACTCAAGCAAAAAGGAGTGATTTTGGAAGGATGTGGATTTATCTCGTGCACCAAGATCGGGGCATAGGTAAAAGCTTAGGGGGGAAAAAAAAAAAAAGCAAAGCAAGTGAGGTTAATCTCTTCTTATTTTCTTCCCTCCTCCCCACCCACTGGATTTGGTGTCTATTAGCCAGTCAGTTTCCTTGCCCATGGAATAACTCAAGGGAACATGGCTATCTCAGTAGAAATTACTCCAGGGATTCAAAATTTTAACTACCTTTTTAGTAAACAAATTTGTTTTCAGAATATCTGATTATTCTAGCTAAGACTGGGTGTTCACCTCAGTTGACTCAGGAGGCAAAGAATTTGAATCACAAGGTATTATTATGGGAGCCACACTCGCCTCTTAAGTAAGATGTATGGATGAGATCCAGTTCTTAGAGAAGGGGAGTAGGGAGGCACCCCTACAGAAGTTTGCAACAGCAAATGAGACTTAATTGTTTCATCCTTTTGTTCTGACCTTAGCTTGTTTTCTGACCTAATGTCCTTCCTTAAGTACTGACATGCTACCCCAGGTACAATACCTGCTTCTGCTCTTGGACTATCCTCCAGACTTTCAGGAGTTGTCAGCTGGCTGTTGTGCTCACTGTTCTCGTTGTC